CAGTGACGTCTCTGCGCTCCTGTTACAGGCAGTGGTGAGCTAGAGCAGGATTCATTTCCTAAGCCTATGCATTTAAGACCATCTGAATGGCTTAGGACAGTCAAGGCTAGGCTGGTAAACACGATCCAGACCACAAGGGAGGCCTGCTTTCTTCTGGAGGCCATGGAGGATACCCTGGGGCATCTCCAAGGGTAGGGGAAGACATGCAGTGTTTCGGCAGCTGCATCCTACCTGTAGCCAGCAGTGTCTGTGTCTGCAAAGAGAGCGTGCTTGCCCTACTGTAAAGGTACCACTGAACGTCTCACTGAGTTGCACAGGTGTGTTGGATGGATCTCTACTGCCGGTATGGAAAGGCAGGCATTTGGCTTTCCTTCTATTTACATAGACACTTCTATTTACATGGCTTAATTGTAACTCTAATTCTACCTCACGTAGAGGCTTCTAATGCAGAATGGAAAATTCAGGTTACTGAGGAACACCTGCAAGATGCAAGGGCAGGGCAATGCATGCTTGGAGGCTGTGGAGTCTCCATCTTTAAGGTCTTAAAGAACAATTGCCAGGAATTTAGGCATAAATAATAAATAATAAATGGCCTTTTTCAGGGCAGTGCAAAAGATGACATACTCTCTTGAAGTCCCTTCCAGCCCTATGTTCCCATACCTCTATATCAACAGATCCCTTACGTATACTGTGCCTTAAATATGCCTCTGTTCATTTCAGTAAGGAATCGTCCTTCTCCACTGCAGAAGGGCTTTGAGGATGTAAAAGCAATAGTATTTTCAGAGGACTCAGCCACTACCTTGATGAGAGGTGTTAATAGCACAGCACGGCTGATAGTCCAGAACCACATTTCCTGAATTGTTTTTGCTTGTTATAGGGGATTACACTCATTCTAGACATTTGTCGCTTGGCTCTGTACACGTCTTACATCCATATACAGAGTAATCACCAGGACATGCCAGACTTCAGGCAAACGAAATACAGCAATGTGACCATGTTGTGATGATGTGGAAGATGTGAGGTTTCCCAGTGATCTCAGAACTATGAAATGAGTCACCAGAGCAACTAGGGTGAAATAGGGTCTTGTAATAAAGTTGGAATTAGGTATGGAAGGATGGTGGATGAGAAATTATATCATAGACATGGTCTATTCTAATGAGAAGGGGGATGAATGGTGGCGAGCAAAGACAGGCATTTCAAAGGAAGGAAAATAATACTTTGTGGAAATTGCAGGAGCCTGATGTTTGCTTAGAGGTAGCAGAAGCCAAGACCTGACAGTTTCATCAGAGAAATTGTCTAGGAACTGACCAAGGGAACATACTTCATTGTTCAAGTGTCAAACTGCTTATATTTAGAGAATAGAGCGGGTATTTATCAGCAGCAGTAATACACACCACACAAAGAAGAATAGTAGAGAAACTGAAAATTTTATCATTGATCTGCTGTGACTCAGATATCCCTGGCATTATGGCTGAAGACACTATGCAGGAGGGGAAGATTATTACATTTCCTACAATAGACGAGTTGGGCAAATGCTGAGGATGATGTAAATCCTGACAGAAGTAAAAAATAATGCTTTTCCCAACAGTGAAAATGAGGAAAACGGCTGTGGGGTGAGGAAAATGACTGTGTGTGATCTCAGTGCAACAATAATCAAGAGAGACACATCTGGAATAACTGACAGCAGTTCAATTGGGACAGTCATGATTAGACGGGAGGATTTAATCTAAGAGGTCAGGGGGTAACACAAGAATAGTTTACTTCATGGATAACAGTAGATTAAGACAGATATTGCAAGAAAATGTTCTGTAGAAAGTAATTATTCCTTAAAAGAAAAACTTTTTTTTTTTTGTAAAAATGAACACAGCTAAGGGAATAGAAGGAGGATATGTGCTATGTCAAGAATAAACGTGTTTGCTGCAATGCATTTAGCCAAAAGAGGAAGAAGAGCTCCTCAAACACCCAATTTTTATCTGATCAGAAATAGACCCGGTTCTGGTGAAGTAACACCAGGGACAACCACCTACCCAAACTGAACAAGCTGGTTACTTTGTTAATAAAAAGAAAAAGAGGTCTTGTATTTGGCCTATTTCTATTAATAGATTGTCAGTATGGGCATGTTCTGTTCAGAAGCAGTGTCAATGGAGAGCGGCCACTGTTTCTTACTGTGTATCTGTAGAGATGCTGCCCAGGAAATGATGCTGGCGTGCCCACCACAAATGCAATTCCCATTTTGCAGGTAGGGCAAGGAGGCCCAGCGTTCAAAGTCAAGCAGGAAGCCTACTGCAGAGCCATTAGAGAAATTCATCAAAATCTCAGGCTAGTGACTTAACCAGGAGAATGTTATTCCTCTTAGGAGTGGGCTGGCAGGCCGTACCAGCAGCACACTAGTTAGAAAAGAGAAAGGTAACCCAGGCAGACAGCCCATTGGGGATATTGTTGAAATGGGTCTTTAAACCTGGATGGGAACTGTGGGAGGGCACACGACTCACACATGCGTTCACACATATGATGTGGTTTAAGTATTTATTTTCTGGTAGAGTTGAAATGGTACATAGGGTTTGCTGGGTTTTAGTATGGGAAAAGTTTTCTTGCGTGATGCAGTTCAGTTCAAATCTGAATTCTTGTTAATATTCTCTGAGGGCTACATGTCAATCACAAATAACTCGTTACCAGCATATTATCATGAGATACTGAAGCTGAAGCACAGTACTGGCGTGTCAGGTACAGGTCTTAGAGGTTTTTTGTTTTGCCTTTAGGTCAGTATAAGTGATGAACTGAGCCATCTGTGTTCTGTTGTATCATACCCTTCATATCCAGACTGAACTGCCTTGGGCATTTCCGAGTCAAATCTCAGAAAGGCAGTTTAAGTGAATAATTTGGATGACAAATTCAGGCTAGTAAACATAAGACTTAACTGTGAAGAATTGCAAAAAGATTATATGCCACTAGGTGTCCAAGTAATAAAATGGTAAGTGAAATTCTGTGTAGACAAATGTAGAGGGATGCAAATGGAAACACAATCCTAATTTTACTCGTGTAATGATGGGCTGTAAACTATTACTACTCGGGAATAAAATCTCACGTTTATAATAGATGCTTATATGGAAACATCAGCTTGATGCAAATGGAACATTGAGAAAGCTTAGAAAAGGGACAAAGAAGACAAAGAAAATATCGTTACACTATTCTAGCATCTTGAATACAGTTCTAATCCTCTAGCTGAAAATCAGTACTGTAGAAATGGAAGAATTACACGGAAGGGTGATGGGATGATCAAAGACGCAGAATGGTTTCTGCAAAAATAATTGATAAATCGTTTTTTTATTTATCTTAATTTTGTTGGATGCTTAGACCACTAATCCCGCTGTCCGTACCTGACACAACATAACACAGTATTAATGCTTCCTATCCACCCCCAACAGCTCCCGCAAAAAACATGCATGCTCCTCTCCCTCCTAACTACCTGTTAGAAACAACAATCTGACAGGGCTCCCGAATGTGCTCATTTTTGTATTGCTTCCAGTTGGAAGCTATTGCCCTGGATGTCATTACGTGAACCAGCTCCAGCAAATGCATCTGTCACAGCACATTGCAAGCCACCTGTCTCCTCTTTCTTTCTCAAATGCTTAATTTCAACTCAAGTTTCTTAAGAAAGTCCTTCCACAGTGGGAAACTTCAACATAGCCCATCCGACTCTGTAATATATGTATACCATGGTACAGAATGTCTGGCTGGACCACTACAGCTCAGCACTGTGTTTCTGTTTGACCCAGACACTATAGTAATAGGAGTTGTGCTTGCAGATGGTAATTATGTTTGCCTCCTGAAAGCCAAGTCAAATGAAGAACTGAAGTTTACAACTCAGCGTACAGTGAAAAGTCTGCAAGACTCCCCCTGTTATTTTTAGAAGCTACTTACATATTCTGCACGCTGCTCTGATTACTCCTTGCCTTTCTGCATGCATGCAGATATTCAGTTATCTCTTGGCTTTTAAAACTTGCAGGTCAACGGGAAAAAAGTTGATGAGTCAATAAATGAGTTAAAATTATGCACCCCACAGAGAAAGAATAGAGCAATACAGCAGGTTCTGAATAGGGAAGAAGATTCAGAGGAAAAACTGAGAGTAAAGTATTTGAGATGTATAGAAATTTGAATTTACGGTCACCTGAGATGCAATCAACTCCTAAGCAATTTCTGGACAAGACTGTCAGCTGGTGAGAACTGTTTGTGAAGTTACTGGTAGGCTGATAATTTGGTAAAATGATTCACACTTAGAAAATCTCTCAGGCATAAATCCCTGTCTTTTACACACAGTAACTAAAAGCCTGAATCAGTTGCCTCAACACAGATCACCAGGGCCCTTAGTGTCCTCCCTGACCTCGCCTCCGGAAGAGCACAGGATTCCCATAGACTCTGTGCTATATCTGCCGTATCATGCAGCATTGGTCTCTGTAGGGAAGTTTTAGAGGCCCAAGGCTTTTCAGCTTAACCATGCTTAGGTCGCTGCCATAGGCTTCATGCTTCCCTGTTTAACCATTGTTAATGAAGATTTTCAAAGAAACTAGACACAGAATAAGTGAGAAGGTAGAGGCTAACAAGTCAAATGAATAGTGAAACGAGAAGGGGCTCTCAGCCTTCCCCTCAGTGCCTTCCCATCCTCATGCACCTCATGATTCTGTGCAATGCACACTGCAATGGCTTTTACTGTGAATATGCAGCGATTTTGGCAAGGACAATTCAGCAGGTTGTAAGGACTCTGTAAACCCGTGCTTTCGGGATCAGAACAAACTAAATTAGTGGCATGTTCACTTGAAATAGGACTATGAGCCCCAGTGTGCCTTTTTCTATCAACTGTAAGTGAGAAAAAATTATTTATAAGTTTTCAAGATTTTGAGACAGTAGTTAAAAGAAGATAAGTGGCCTTCACACAGTACAGTAAACCTGCTTTCCAAAGCAGGACACAAAGTGTAAAAAGGATGCATACTGAGCTGTCATACTTAACATGGTGAGAGTGAGGTGCCTTCCCATTCCCTTTCTGCAGGTCTGCACCGTGGCCTTGCTTCTGCTCCGCGACCCCGATACCGAGGCTTGGCCTGGTCTGTGACTCGTCTTTCAGCCAGCTCTGCTCATGTAGTCACCATCCTCACACATTCCCAGAGAAGGAACCCTAGAGGGAGACATCGAGGTCTGGAAGGAAGATGCTAACGCTAGAGAAAATCATTGTGACCCTGGTCAAAGGCTGAGAATCCCCCTGGGTGACCGTGGGCAAGTCTCTGTCTTTATGACTATATTCCCCAGTAGTAAAATGGAGCTTTTTTTTTTTTCCTCTTGGGAAGAAAGGAGTTGTAAGGAGTTGTCAGCTATAGGCAGTTCTCTGAAACTGTACATTGAGAATGTCCAAATTAACAAGACACTACGTATTTAAGACACCGAGAAACTCCTCTGCTTTTTCTTGAATGAAATTTGATGTCATCATGCAAGCTAATCCCTTAGCTCGTTTATAAAGAAAATAGTGATATAAATGTATAAAGCTCTCAAGACAGCTACTAACAATCATATTCCGAGTCAATTTTCTGCTTCACTAATACTGCGATGCTAATGATCATTTTTTTTAATTACCTCTGTATAATACTTGATTCCCACCCCCCCACAAAATATTTACTTAGAAGCACTCATGCATGGTCACATGCCCTACCACTTATTTATAGTTTTTCAACATTATTTCTGCTAGCTGCACCTTCCAAAACTGAGTAACCTTTTCGCAGACTCGTGGTTTCCCTAGCATGCACAGCTGAAAGTGCCTGCAGACATGGCGAGGAACAGCGGGATGAAGCCTGGGTGCCAAGGCAGGTTTTGTAGTACCACGTAGCAGAAGGCCAGGAACTGGGCGCCAAGGCAGCATGCGGGAGGCATCTGCCTCCCTGCTCCCGCTTCCCTGCCTGAGAAGCTCTTGGCAGCTCCTGCCTCCTTGAGGGACGGCGTGTCCCAGCTCTTGCTGCGCTTCTGTCGGCAGTGGCAAACTGGGAAAGGGATATTCTTGTGCAAGGGGCAGTGAGGTAAAATATTACCTGCAGAGCAGCGTGGCTTGGAGGTAGCCATACATGGACGGAAACGCTTTGCAGAGCAGGGGGCAGAGCACCACCTCGGTCTAGACATGGTCTCAAATGACGCAAGCAGTGATCCCGAGCAAGAATAATTGCCAGCAGCAACAGACCGTGACCCTCAGCCGCTAACCTGCCATTGGCTGGAAGTCCATCTCTGCTTGCGAACTGTGCCAGAAGCTGTCCTCCTCCGGTCAGCAATGTTTCCAGGGTCAGCCAGGTGCCACGTGCATGCTCCAAGAGCTGCCCTTCGCCCTCTCTGTTAGTACAGGGAGGTTTCCCATACTACCAAAGCAGGACCAAAGGGTTTTATTCTATTGCTGTGGGCATTCAGGACTCTGTAAAGTTAATCCCACCCTGTGAAGGTTCAGGAGAGCAATCGAGGAAGAAAAGCTCTTCCTTGCATATGATCCAGCAGCGGGGAAGGAGCTGCAGAGCACAGAGAGACCCGGTGCAGTTTAAATCGCAGCAGCAGGTATCAGGTGAATATCTATGCTGAATCCTCTTGGTAGCCAAAGGCAGGCTGGAAGGCCACGATGACTAAGCTGAAATGATAATTTACTAATAATTCCCATTTGAAATCTCTGTTCAGGTAGTGAAGCTTTTATGGAGCTCCCTGATACTGCCAACTGATCAAGGGACTAAACCTATTTTTATCTGCAATCGAGACTGAGACCTGCAGCAGACGCTGAAGGAGATGCTCAGGTGAAGAACCTATCTGTCTTTCAGAGCATTTGTAGGCACTGGGCTCAGAGAATCTGAGTTTCTGTTAAGTTTTGCCATGCAGATTTCAGCTTTCTATTCTGTTGCCCTTCCTGGCAACCTCTGTAACAAGTGGTATTAAATTAACCAGATTTTGGTTTTCTGATAACAAGGCAATTTTAAGAAAGAGATAGAACATCACCAGTGGTCATTCAGCTATTTCATCCCTGAGTTCTCTTAAAGTTCCCAGTTAAATATCATCTGTTTCTGGCTGTTTATTACTGTTCATTTTCCAGATTTGTTCCACATGCTCTTCTATCAACACTTCAGCTTCAGATAAAGCCTTTGAATGAGTCCCCTGTAAAGAAAGAGCTCCCCAAGATACTTTCAAGATGAATATAGATGAAAAAATTAATTTAGTTCTTCTGCAATTGCCTTATCTTATCTGAGTGCTGCTTCTTTACCTCAATCTTCTATTGGCTTTACAACTCTTCCACAGCCCTCCTATCCCTGAAGTGTTTGAAAAAGGATTTCTTGTTAGTTTTGATGCCTTTTGCAAGCTATTCCTCAAATGCTTTTTAGCCTGTCTTGTTTCATTTTTAAACTACCAGAGTTTATGGTCCTTTTTTATCTTTCTCATTCCAATACAATTTTAGCACTTTGAAAGATGCCTTCTTGCTTCTAATAACTTAAACCTTGACTTTTATGGTGACTTTTTACAAATAAGTCATCTTAAAGGTTTTCCTTAAAAGTTACAGTCCTTCTGAGTTGTGGGGCAGCTGCCCTGCCCGGCTCCTGCCGGCCCCAGGGAGGGTGCAAGGCCCGTGACGTGTGCTGACCACGGGGCAAGGTCTTGGTGGGACGGGCTGACATAACTGATTTCTGAACACACACCTTCAGTATCAATATCAGAAAGGATCTCAGGTCTCAAGGAGAGGAAGATGGAGCTGTGAAAATTGTAGAAATAAGATGAGATGTTTTCTGAGATGTTTTCTGAAAAAACAGAGAGAAGCTAGAGACATGGAGCCACTGCTTTTTCTGAGAGGCTGATAATTTTTAATTCAGTTTGTGGATTTTCTCATAAACATAGAGACTGAATACTTTCATTTTGTTTAAAGAGCATGAACGTGTTATTAAACAGCACCTTTTACTACTAAATTTGAATCCAATACGGGTGTATGCCAAAAGGGTCCGTGCCTATCTGAGCTCGCAAATACAGGGAAAACATTGCAAGTTCTCTCTTAAGAATCTTGCAAGGAGAAAAAGCTACTAGCAGTTTGTTATCCATGAGTGGCCCTGATGTTGTGATAACATGCGCTGTGATAAATACCACAGGTACCAGACAAGAATGGGTTCGTAAGGCTCTATAATAGATAAGATGTAGAAAGAATATTGAAATTTGCAGTTGAACCACTTAAGAAAAATCTCAGCTAAGATGACTGCAGCTTTTTGCTATTTTATATACATTAAAAGAAGAATTAATAACTTCCCTAGTATTTCTGTCAAATTATATAATTTCATTTTGCACATTTAATTCTGCTTATCTGCATGAGATGCAGTCTCAGAGACTGGAATCAAAGAAAAGCTGTATAATCCCTTGCAAATGGCATCCTTCAAAAGAGTCTTTCCACTCTTCAAGCAAATCCTTCTCAAGGATTGCTGAAATACCATGGAAGATCTGCAGATTCTGTGAGGAGAATAAAATACCTCATTGTAATTTATGCATTTCTAATATAGAGTAGTATGTTTCACTCCTGGAGCAGGCAGGTATCAAGTGCATACATAAAAACAAATCAAAAAATTACTTTGCCAGTAAATCCCACCGAATGTAGAGAAAGCACTGAAATACCGCAGCCTTTCTCCGTTTGTGGTTACAGCTAGAGCTAGTTAAATATTAGAATTTCTGTTAAACAGAAATATTTTCACTTCTGATAAGTTTTTGGTTTTATTCATGAAGATGATAATTTTTAAAATTTCTAGCTGAGGAGAAATTTCAAAACAAAATTAATTTCACAAAAAAAGAAAACATCTCTTTTTGGCATTCTGAACTGAAAAGATGAAACAATTCTGGCCCCAGGAACACCCCAACTGACTTATAAAACAGAAAGCCCAGAAGCCCTGGGTATCGCACTTCACTGAGACATTGAGGAGGCTTTCTAGATCATCAGGCTCCTTCCCGCAGTATCATAGCAACCTTGTCTTCAGATCATTTTAATGAACTAATCTATCTTGAAAACATTCAGCACTAGTCCTATGGGAATGTTGTGGGGACATTACAGTTCTGATAATTAGAAACTTCCTATTAATTTCCAGGTTAAATGTATTTGTGGTCATTTTATATCCATTTGTTATCCTGACAGTATAACATCCCGCAACAGAGAGTCTGGAAGCACTGAAAGCTCTGAGATGCCTGGGGTAGTGCTGCTGCTTTCTTGCTTACCTGCATTTCAGCCAAAGCATATCAAAATCAATATATGCCACCAGAAACGTTCCAGTTAGCTCCAGTTGTGATCTACAGCTTATCCATTGATAATTCAAGCAAAGAGTCTTCACATTTGGGAGATTTTCAGGGGTATTCAGCAGAACAAACGTACAGAAGGGGTTCAGTTTTCTAAATATAGGTATCTAGTACTCTGTCAGATTTCTATGAGGTCTGAATGGGGTGGATAGACGTGACCCAAGACGTGAAAGGGGCTCACCACTCTCTGGAGGTCAGGCAGGGTACTTTAGGGCATCCCCAAAAGCTCTGGACATCTGTGTTGGGGCACTGAATCCCACCCTAGGTGTTTACCATAGAGTGAGCTGAGTAGCTCTCTAGGACGTGTTGACTCAATCTCCATTGACTATACTGGCCTAGCCACATTGCTCACAAATACCCGCATGTAGGCGCTTGAATAGAGGTGCCTTAATTTGTGAGCTGAATTCCACTCTGATCTTCCAATATAAATTGGAGAACCACTATTTCTCTTGACAAAGAGTTACTGAGCCAATGTAACCTGCTCTCCCTGTAACCCACTCTGAGAAGCACACATACATAGGCATAGATACACATAAACAGGCAATGAAAGACATAGAAGCGTAACTCCAAAATAAATGTCTATCTGCAGCCCAGCATTCAGGATGGATAGTAATTACGCTAGCCGTGGGAGAGAAGAAGGATGAGCAGTGGGGACAAGAGTAGGAGAACAGCTGAGTCCACCTGACATCAAATTCAATGAATTTCACACCCAGTAGTCAGAGTGACCAGATAACCCCCTCTCTGAGTTCCTCAAGGCATTTCTGGTTCAGTAATAAGCATTTTAAGCTAATCTATCCAGTCAGAAATGGCATTATATGGCTGGAGAATAGCACATTTAAAAAAGAGAGAAGGAAGAGAAGGCGTAAAATGACTAGCTTTTATGTCCGATCTCAGGAACATGTAAGACTTCAAATTAGATTTTGAAGAAAAGCGTAATGGAGATAGATGATATAGCAAGCTGCATGGACTTATCAAAGTTAGATGATGAATATAATTGGCTTAATAGACAAAGAGAACACAGTAGAGCTTATCCATGCTGGCCTGAAGAAAACATTTGCTTAAAAGTACCATACGGGAGATTAGCTCAAATGAGAAGGATGGAAGCTAGATGAACTGTAAACTGGGTATGTTGTTAGCTAAAGGCAAGATGGAAACACGTACTGTTGCAAAAGTAAGAATCAGGCTGGAGGGAAATTACTAATAGAGTTCCTCAAGAATTAGTCTTCATACCACTGCTATTTAATATTTTCATTAATTACTTTGGCACAGAAAATGCCTGATAAAATCTGCTAATTACAAAAATTAGAGGCAGTGTCAGTATGGAGGCAGACTGAGGTAACAGGAGAAAAAGCACATGATCCTGAAGATTGAGATAAGAGGAGAGAGATGAGATTCACTCATATGAAAATCAAGGTAACGTATCTGGGAACCAACAATAAAAATGCAGCCTTCTGATACAACTGTGGAACTCATCACCTGGAGATGACTGAGGATTACGGCTGAGGGGTACCAGCTGCTCACAGAATGACCAGTGTAATGCTGCTGGGAACAAGTCTTCGTCACAGAATGGAGGAGGTCTTAAATCCCTCGGATGGACTGGGAAAGATACCAGCAGTGGGGGTAGGACATGCAACTGACCATGTGTGGAGCAGCCTCATCCAAGCACTGTTCAGAATTGTAGTGACTTGTGTTCAACTGGAAGGTGAATTCAGCCAGGAAGGAGGGTAGAGAAGGGTTACTGGGATAACTAGAGAAATTGGGAGAATATCATACAAGAAGAGATGAAAAGAACTTGGCTTGATCAGCCTAGAAAAACAGAGGCTGCTGGGGAAGCTGCCTATAAATGCACAAGGGATAAATACGCAGGAAGGAGGAAAGGGGTTTAACTGACAAAATAACGCTGGCAGAAGAATGAACTGGTGCAATCTGTCATGAATAATTATATGTTGGCACATAAAAGAAAGTTTCTAACTACTTACTAAGAGGAGTGGTGGGGAGAAACCTACTCTCTTGCAAGAGGGATCTTGACCAGTCTATGGAAAGCATAGGACATCTTTACTCCTGACCAAGGAAACTGAACTCAGACGTTATCAGGTCCTTTCTGGCCTGTTACTTCTGAAAAGGGACCTCAGCAACACCAACGGGAGCAGTGTAGTGCCATTAAAGAGAGTTTTGTAACCCTATCTTCTCACTTGTTAGAGGGGAATTGGGACCTTCTCAGCACCTGGCCAAGGGATGTCCCACAGTGCTGGGCAGGTGCTGACACCCAAGGGGGATCATGCCTCTCTGTGACACACAGGCCTACAGCCTGAGCAAGAGCGCACAGGTGTCAGAGCACAGCATTTGCAGAAAGGTAAGTGCATTAAAACAAGCATGTGAAGACTGTAAGCAATCAGCTCAACCCCACATTAATGTTGCCGGTCCATTTCCTATTCCCAGGCTATTGAGGGTAGCAGGGCATATTCTGAAGTTGCAGCGGGGTTTAATGCTTCATTTTAATTCTTACTTCAAACTATTTCACATAAAGACATTGAATAGACAAAGTGTTACAATTACAACTTTCCTCAGCCAATTTTTTATGTAGCCACTTATAAAACCAGAGTCCCCAGCCCAGCTCAAAACCAGGGATTTTCCCCAGTTCTGGGCAGACCAGTGCAGAGTGATTTCAGCTGCTACCAGGCTTGCTACATGGGTAATTGAGCATTTAGCATGCCCAGCCATTGCCTACAGTAGCTTTCCTAGCAGCACCCAGATACCTTAAATTAATGTCAGCAATAGTGGGAAATGCATGGAGGGTCTCTACTGAAGATGGACAACAGCATAAAGCTCATCTCTCAAACCTATCAAGGGGCTGCAAAGCTGATGGGGGGCAGGAAGAGGATAAGGGAGAGCAACTAAGTCTAAGCAACAGGGCAGAGAAAATACAGGAAAGGTAATAAGTGCTCAAAATTGCCCAGGAGACTTCAGAGCTGGTCTTCTGCCTAGGGGGCTCGTATCTTATTTATTAGGCCATGCTGCCTCACATGGGAGTGTGGAGGCTCCCCCAGGTGCCTGGGTACCCAGCACGCCAAGATGAGCAGCTGTTGCCACCTTCCCAGCGGAAAAATTAAAGCAATAGGGAGTTCAGAGAGATCTGCTGCTGCGCCAGAAGAAAGTGAAGGGAACTATGTCATTATCATGCCTACAGAGGCCAGCCTGACCCCAAGAGACAGTGGCAGTAATAGTGTTTTATAGTAATTCAATAACTATTTATGCCGGGAGGATGAGTTATGCTGACTGGCCTTATTTGCTAAGTTATTAGATAGCAAAACTAAGAGGATTTTCAGAGCTGGTGTAGAGAGGCCAGTTCCACTGTCTTTCTTTTAATGCAGGGAAAATTAGAAGTTGACATAAATGGACAATTAACTGAATCCTTTAATGTCATCAACACTCTCCAGTCTCAGAGAGGCACCAGGTGTTCTTCAGAGTTAACAGAGCCAGGAGATGCCAGCGTGGGAGCCCAGCACTCCAGGGCAGGAAGAAAAGAGAGCCGGGGGCTGAGAGCCACGACCATATGAAGAGATGCCGGCATCTGCTCCTGTCTCTGAAGCAACTCCGCTGGCTGCAACATATCTCCCCTGTCATTATATTCCCACTCAAAAACTGTTCAGTTCTGGCCCTGCAGCTCTGTCCTCATCTCCCAGAAAGTATAAAGACAGGGAGATGGGTGAAGATCCTGAAGATCTCCACACACCTTTGACTACTTAGGAGTTCTGGGATAAAACCTAGACTGTATCATATGTGCCTGTATGTGAGCAAGACCTCCAGAGAGCAGCTGTCCCCAGGAAACCCTGAACCCAGGCACCTCTGTTCAGTTCCCCTCACCACATACACCAACGCCATGTAGCCTCCGCATGTGCAGATTCACAGTGAACAGTTGGCTGCACAGTTGGTAAGAAATGCTGTTTCCACAAGGTGGTATCACCAGATACCTCAAAAATGGCCCAGCTTATACTGCAGCTAGCTGTGAATTACAGCACTTCACAGTTCCTTTCCAAGGAACAGCAAAGCCAGGAGTGTAGCTCACAGGAATCGTGAGAAATACCTCACCTGAGATTTCGGCAACTCACAGGATGGGAGATCAGAGAAAGGACTCTCTTTTTGTTCACAATGTTACTTACTAGCAGGCCAACAAGATGACAAAGTCTGGACCAAACCCTCTCTGTAAGAGGGACTGTACCCTATTTAAGCATGGAGATGACTCGCCCTCGATCCTGATGCCCCGGGCAGACTACAGACAACCTGAGATGCCTTCCCCCTTCAGCTGGAGAGCCCTTCCCCAGCTGGCTGACACCACGACGTTTTCTTGCATGAGGGCTGACCTTAGCCTGGACACTTTTGAAACTGTAATTTGAGGGGAAAGGGATGAAAAACTACAAACGCTGTCTAACGGTCTCCCCAAATGCACTTAAAGTAGAGAAAATTCTTGGAAAAGCACAGGGGAAAAGCGATTTCTTTGGGGCTTGGAGCCTCTAAGGAGAGAATTGTTTACCCCAAAATAGTTCTCAGTTTGCGAGTAGCAGAAGGTGACGCAAATGCTGGGAGAAGTCATGGATCCTGTCCTGGCTGGACACTGCAACAGGGTACATATGGTGCATGGCTGCCTCTGCCAGAGCAAGCCTCACTAAGGGCCTTCTCTTCAGACCACTTTGGAGTAGATCCGTCAACTTTAAGTCATGCAGAGCAGAAGTCAAGTCAGATATAGTGTCCATGGTTCCAGTGCCCCAGATGCGGCCTGATGGACCGGCTGGCCTTGAGGGCACAGAGCAAGGTGCTAGACAGCTCGGTGTCTGGGTGCCAGAGGCTCACGGCCATGGCCTCATCCCCTCCATCAGCTGCTGCTGGTCACACCACCCTCAAGGAGGCACCTGACTCCTCCAAGGATATATATGTATAAATCTCAGCTTCCCTCAGCCCTGGCTGTTGCTATCTCCCCAGGCTTCTGTCCTGTTTGAGCCCCTTCCCACGTGAGCCTGGTGAGCTCCCTGCTGCTTCTCTTCCTCCTACTCTCGGCGAGCATCTAGGTCTGTTGCCAGATCAGCCAAGAGGTGCTCAGGAGTGTCCAAGTCCACACGACAGCATCTCCACATTTCCTTCTGATGGGAGGAAGAAGTGCTCCTCCTTTGGGAAATGAGGTTCTGTTAGATGGAAGCCCCTCCAAATACTACTGCTGTTCTAAGGAAATTCAGCCCTCAGGATCAACCAACAGTCTCTTTTTGCCTTACCAAAAAGAAGAGAGCAACGAATCTTGTGGAGAAGCCAGGAGTTGAACCTAGCTCTCAAGAGAAGCATGCAAATGTTTTATCTGCAATATTGCCTTTCCTTCGGAGCAGGGTAGGGGAGAAAAATACAGAAAAAAAATCACCCTCACAAATATCAGTACTAGTCATCATCCAAACTTTCCAAAAATCACTGAAACTAATCAAAATTCTGCGTCTCATGCCATGTACTGTGCAGGGACGTATCAAGTAAGTGAAAAATATACGTACTCTGCTTGGATGTGCTGACACATACCCCTGTCAGATATAATTAAGGCTCCCATTCTTTGTCTTTCCTACCACTAGTTCTATATATTAAGTTCCATTCTAATTTAATTACCCTTATTGCAGCATTTCTTCATTCAAAATGAATAGCTTCTAGGAATGGTGCTTTCAGGGGAACACAGTGGGGTTTTTTTTTTGTTTTCTTTTTTTCACACTAGTAATTGGCATTTGCAGTAAGCATAGGGAAAACCCAATTCCCAGTGCCATGGGGAAGATAATGAAATTTGCACCGTTCTAAGAAATTAGAAGGGATTTGGAGGTTTAAAATAACTTTTACAAAATAAAACAAGAAACTTATGTTAGCTTTTGTTCCAGGCAGCAAACGGGAGGCTCACAGGCAAGCTAAAGCTTTGTAAAGCAATGCATCTCCCATATTAATATCACTTATGTGCAGCTCAGAAGCACCTGAAGGCCCCCTCTAAGCTTGAGACCCCATCGTTCTAGTGCTGTTCAAGTAGGTTACGATAAGTCATCCGTGCCATCTAGAGTTCACAACAAGAGCTAGCTGAAAATTTCCCCCAGGACCATTTTTTCTGATAGAAAGTGAAATGCCTGCAAAATTATCTGTTTTAACCCTACCATAATTATTTCAGGTCAGTGGAATAAACCTAGACAGCTTCTGCTCTGCTTCAGCACAGCATCTGCTGCTCAAGGGCTGCTGTGCACCAGGGTTTCTGAGGACGTGTGCCCTTCTGCTGCCTGGGAGCGCTGTCTGGTTTGGATTTCAGGACTCTCTGCATTTCTCTGGAAATCTTGAAGGTGTTGTTCATGCAAGGACAGATCTGCCCTGCAGGACACATTGAATGAGTGTGATGCCTCCAAGACCTGCCAGTGGTCTGTCCACACACCCACGAGCTGGTGCTCTTCAGACAAACTCCCATGCCCAGATCACTTGGGTAGTATGTGAGTACAGATGTTTACTTCTGCCAAGGAAATCCTTTTTCTTACCAGACAGCATGGTGCTTCATGGGGCACTTGTTGCCCCATTTCAGGCATATTACTGAAGGAAGCTAAAATACAGAGCAAGTGGAGTTTCCAGAAGGGGACAAGAAATCTGTTCCTGAAACACACCAGAAGCAACTATGTCATGATTACAAAGACCTTAAAAAAAAAAAAAAAAAAAAAAAAAAAAAGGAAACATCATCTGAGTGTAACTGAAAGGTCAGCCTTGCTTTATTTTCTTATATAAGAATAAAAATTGCTGCAGATTCTGTATATACCATTATATTTTGAACTAAAGAGGTACATAAATAAGATGAGCAAATGAGGAAAAAATAGGTAAAGGACAGTGTTCTCAGGCGACTCAAGACCAAGTATCTTTTGTTCGCAGACCTAAAATTTAAAGCCACCAATTATTTGGGGTGTTTCCATTTTTAAACAACCCACATAGGCTTATATTTTGCAAAACTGGTATTTGTCACTTCCTGTAAAACAACTTCTTTTAAGAGCTTCTGTTTTGGCAGCCAATCATTAAGGCATACAGATTTTCAGCTGCTTTTGGAAATTAAGTCTCTATGTATTTAAGAAGAAAAATGTCCCATGAGTTCAACACGCTCTCCTTCTTGCATCTTTTCCAAAGGCATGCGTGATGAACAATCTGTCTAGGCATAACTTTTTCAGTAACTTTTTTCAGTTCAGCTGCACTACGCTTTTGCCGACTGAAATAATTGCAGAAAGCAACAATCCACACAGAGAGCAGCAAGAAGTCCCTCAAAGTCTGACCCTGAGCGTTGCTTAAATCTCCCAGTTTAGCATCATCCAACTGTGAATTTCATCAGTGTGCTGCTAAATCATATTGCTGGCATTTGGAGTACACAATGGGTTATTGATATTTCCTTGAAATATGATACAACTCCTAGACGATGTAATCCATCATGAGAGTGAAAACAGATAATTTCTTGGGAGCACTTTGAAGTCCTGCATTCAGTTTTCTTTCTGGTTAAGCCCACTTGCTGGTCCTATTGTTTTGCTGCCTATTTGAATTGTCACTTATAAATTGCTCTGCGTACAACTAACTCTTGTGTAAAAGGCTTCAACAATAGCAATATACAGTCAAATGCACATAATTGCTTTTACAAAAGGAAAAAAAAATCACATCAAGGTACATAAACCTCGGTCCCTGTGTACTGCAGTTTAAAATAGATTATGCCCTATGGCTGATAATGTACTCCAGTTATAACCATTATGAGTCTACTAAATAAGCCAATTATTGTTCTAACAAGGCATTCATTAGTAATCTGGACAGAGAGCACATAGATGGTATATAACAGCTGGAAGTGACTAAGAAAAGCAGAAAAGTGATGGGATGAAGGCATAGGTATAATAAGTGGAACTGCAGCCCTTTTCAAAGAGCTGGCATTAATTAGGAAAACCAGCAACCAACTACCAGCAAAGCAAGCTCCATCTTGCTTGATTTCTGATGAGCACAATGCTTTCCTAAGCCTTTAACACAGGGGGAAACCAAACAGCAGACCTCTAAATAGACACCACTGGAGCGAGCATGACCTAGGCTCTGCCCCCCAGCCCAGGCACTCTCAAGTTAACGGCAGTTGTGTGAGTGTAGCTCAAAGGCACCACACCACACTAGGAAATTAGCAATGTGGTAATATAGGACAGGCCATCTGAGAATCATTTAAGCTAAGCAGCGCTGTCATTTGTTTGCGTAACATAAGCCTGATCTATAAAGTTCCCCAGCTTCAAGTGGTGCTTGAATGACAGATGAGTCATAGCCCTGTGGAGCTATGTGATGGCTGCCACGTGGTTCAGCTGATAAAATGATTGATTCCCGTTGCTAAGAGATCTCAGGCTCGCTCTGCAAACACTAAGTCTATAAGCCATTCTGACCCGCAAGCTAACAGTAAATTCCTGCCAGAAGGATCTGGGTGCTACCACCATCGTGCAATGCCACAAGCCCAGACAAGGAAGAGCAGTGATTTTTGGTGGAATATTCCCTCTGCAGCACTGACACATCACAGAGCTTGATGGGAGAAATTCTCTAATTAGGGCTTTTTGTTGTTGTTTTTGCTCCTGTCCAGGTCAGGGGCACAAGTTTTAGCCAGTGAATCTCTGGGAGAAAAATCCTCTCCCTGAGAATAGTTATGTCAATCACTTAGATCAGTGCAGTTAGACCAGTGCAAAAATATCATAGATCAAGGATGCTGCTGCGGAGGCGATGGTGCAGCAGGCAAGAGGTTGTAGCTCTGCCCTGCAGCCGGGAGGAGGGTCAGTCCAGCTCTTTCACAGCCCCCCACCGAGCACGAGAGGTACGTTGTGCTGCCGGGGTCGCAGCAGCTAGCGCTAACATACTGAATGTTTGCTCAGGCTTGTGCCAGGGGCTTCCCTGGGACCTGGCTCTCCCAGGCCTGGGAAGATGTGAATGGAGCTCAGAGGAACTAAGCCTCCTTGGTGGAAAATCAGGGTAGCCGAGGACTGATTGCATATGTTTACTGGTCTCATTAACACCTGCCTGCTTGAAGTACCAGCCTCTCTCCGTTCCCCTGTCCCAGGTAAGGGCTGCAGTGCTAGCAGAGAAACCCACATGCCTGCAGTACGATGTCCAGGGCCCTTGGTTTTGGCTGAGAGTAGTGGTTTTTGCTAGCGCTTTTGCACAGGGCTAGCCACCCCAGCGTCTCCTGCAGTCCCCTAGCCATCCTCTCGCTAGCAATGGCAGCCACCCTGTAAGAGAAGGGCAGTGTTCGCCCACAGGTGCACGGGCCGTCCAGGAAGGAGAGCCCACAGGGGTACCGTGGCAGAAGAGATGTTCTCCCACCTCCGCTGGAGGGGGCTTTCACACACATCATGCTGGGAAGAGGCAGGAACCCAGAGGCGAAGCAACAGCAACCTTGACACAGAGTACCTTGATGTGAAGCCTTTCTAGTTTTCCCGGTCTCGTTTAGACCAGAAATGCAGCTAATCCCATGAAGGGATGACAGCTCAGGGCCCTACTGAGCAGGCAGCACGGAGAGAACAAAAAAAGGCAGGGACTTCCCAAAGTCACAGCAAAGAAGACCTGCCAGCTCACACAAGCAGTTCACGCAAAGGCTGCAAATGGAAAGTCAATGGTGGTGTCTTACTGTAAATTAGAAAAAGGTGACTTTGCGCAAGGTCTCTCTCACACATCTTGCTCATTAAATTCTGCACTGATGCAGAAGACGACTAACGCTACTCAACGACACGTCTCCCAAAGCTTCCTGTTTGGGTTTGCTGTTGGATCTCCCTCCCACCTACATTTGGAAAATGCAGCCGCTGATACACTGTGGAGGAGAGAAAAAACAATAGTAACTTTGATTGCAAACTGAATACATTTTATAAAGCGCAATCCAACAGCTTTGGCTATCTTTAAACTGGCTGAAGATATCTGATGACATGGTCAGATATATCTGGGTGAATCACTCACAAATTACTGAAAGACTTGCAAGATTTGTTGAGGTGAAAAGGAGGAGGGAGAAAGGGATGTTGCCAAACAAAAGCCCCTCATCAGTTCTCGTGCTTAGAATGAGACTCAAAACAAAGGTAATAAGGTGCCTTCCAGTTTGACTAAGGGGAGAAGGTCTACTGTAGCAGATGCATCAACATATCTCTGTAAATACCAAACATTTACCTTCAGTCTTTTTTTTTTTTTTTTGCATGTAGCAGTTCTAAGTTGCCCCAGGTGCTGCTTTCCTTGAGATGAAAAATACTGCAAAGAGAAGAGAAGGCACAATTTTCTCCAGAACTAATACTTGCTCTCAAATAGCAAAGAACGGATCTGGACCTATGGTAAGAGTGAAACTCAGCTAAGAATCAAAGACTTTGTTACTTAATTTGTGACGATGTGGTAGGAGGTTGTCAATCAGATGGATTGCCGGTGGGGAACAACTTCAAGCCATCTGAGACGGCAACAGGGCTTGCCAAGGGAAGGTGATTTCAGCCTTCCCTTATTTATTGGATTTGCCTGTATCTTACGAAGGTTTTGTTTTCTATCTCTTTGGGAAGCCAAGGAGCTGTCTGCTTATTTATATATGCAAAATAAAAAAGTATGCAAATGCTGAGTTTGTAAACAGTATCTTACAAAAATCTTGCACTGAAGACAATGGTCATATTGTCTTGTTAAAACACTGCCATGTGGACCTTAACAGCAGGTGCTGACACGCAGGCACCAAATCTTCTCCACTGCTAAGTTATATATATTTTCAGTAACTGCTTTCTGACAGTAACTGAAAAATTCAGTTGCATCTATTGTCTCTCTGCTTTTCAGATTTTCTGCAAAGATTGGTCCCTTTGGGAGGGATTCACCTTGCCTTACTGTAGCAGACTGATTCAGTTGCCAGCTCACAGACGTGCCCATACAGGACCTGCACAAATTCACACCTCTCAGCTCTGCTCTTTCTTGCACAGACCCCCAGTGATGGGCCAGCTCTGGGGTCCCTTCATTACCACTCAGACGCAGTGGAGAGCTAGACATCAGCAATGCCAACTGCACACATAAACACCTCCATCCAGTGTTTTCACATGAAGCTGAATCCCACCTTTACCGTGCACCTGACCCATTTTAGAGGTCCTCTTCAGCATACCATGTGAATTATATCCTTTCCTCCCCTGACTTTATCCCTGTGGACGGTATGAAGAGGTGGCTACCTCAGATGTGGATGCCTATGTTGCAACTGTCCACTGGAGATGTGTTGGGTGTCAGAGACAGCCAAAGGTACACGGCCCTGTGGACAAGGCGGAGCCTTCTGCAGCAGCAACGGGAGCCCAGGCAGGACACTCCTAGCATCTCAGTGTCCCTCAACACCTACGGATAAAAGAGTTCTACCTTTCACCAGCTGGCTCCCATCCTGTGTGTCCCCAGGTCCACACTGGTTGGACAACTTGCCAGCAGGCATTGCTGTTTCTTCCAGTCAATGCTTTAGGTGAAATCACCCTTCAGTATGGGTGTCACCCTCCAAAATGAGAAAGAAGAGATGGAGAGGGACTGCGTGGATCCCCCTCTGTCATGGATGACCTATCTTACACAGCCCTCCAGAAATGCTGGAGGAATACCACTGAGTGGAAGGGGAGCCACAAGGAGGAAGGGCCATGCCCCCTGCCACTGCAGCACCACCCAGGGCTGAAAAGGGAAAACTCTGGGAGGAAAAGAAGAGGCAAGCTAACGAAAACAGCACTGGATTACCTCTTCTATGGCACAGGGAGGAAAGCTGCCATCCCCATCACTGGTGAGGCTCCAGGTGCCTTCACTTGAGTCAGGATTCACCCCTAAAAGCCTTTCTTTCCCTGATTCTCTCATTTAGCTTAGCATGGCAGTGAGACGTGTGCAGCATCTAATGTATTTTCAATACGTCAGCATTCAAAAAGTGGTGGAGAAGCAGAGATGTATGAGGATCTCCAAGCAGCCTGTACTTAAAAATGTGTGTGTTGAACCCATTCTCATTCTCCTAGTCCCTTTTTATAGTCTTTATAGGGTTAATCCTGCTCTCTTGTCTACTAGTAAAAATGCAGGGGTTTCCAGGAGCTTACACAGGTGGCGATGACTGTGACTAGCAGTATTGTTGCATGCAACTCCTACCTCTTAATCCTGGCTTCAGCTCTTCAGTAAAAGCTATACAGGGCATGAGAAAGTGAAGTCAAAGGGCAGGTGTCCAGAGAGATGCCCTGCAGTAGCTGCCCAGTGTGGCTCCAGACCATTCCTGTGCCTCAGTTTCCCCACAGACGTAACCCAGAGCTCCCTACCGGCCTTGCCAGTGATCTCAGGCCAGACTTGTTATTTGTGGAGTTGGCTGAGAGATGAGATGAAAGGTTCCACGTCAGTGCAGAGTAAATTGTTATTAAATGAGAGCTAATGAATGATCACACGAATCCCAAACTGGAGCAATTAGCCATTCTGCAGCTGCCAGAGGGTATTTTCCCTGCTGCTACAGTTGCCTCTAGGTGGCTGATTTTTAAATTACTCTTTCCTCTTTGCTTCACGACATTGCCTTGGGAGCCAATCAAGCCTTTCTTTCCGAGTATATGAGAGTGCTCATTTACATCCAAGAGCGGTGCCCCGGTACAGTTCAGGTGGGGCTGGCCCCGCAGTCTGCATGCAGTTTATTCCTGTTGAAAAAGGTGATTTCCTTGAAGAGAGGATAAACGCTGTGTGGTTACAAGGCACCTTTACACAGACACACCTTCAAGAGAAGCTGTATTCAGGACCTTCATCCGCGGCACACACATGGGATCTTAGGTCCATAGGCAACCGTGGGCTTTACTGTGCAGAAAATCCTGCCTCATGCTTTGCAGCAGAGCCCATAGCAAACTAAGAGCATTACTTGCCACGAAAGTTTCTGCTGGCACAGAGGCTGGGTGCAGGGGCAGGATTTGGCGTCTCAGGTCAGGTCTGGGGCCAGGGCAGCCCTGACGCTGCTCCTTCACGGTACCATTGCTCTCTCCATAAGGTCCCTCTGTGCTGGAGAAATGTCTGCTCATGAAACAGAGGGTTGAGGAAAGAAGGCTAGTTGTTCTTCTTTGAGAGAAAGCCTGGGCACACTCCCTGTTTCTTAAATATATTTATATTAACAGAGAAGAGTTACTGGAGCGTCATCATGGCAGCAGTGTGTTTTTTTTTTTTAATTAAACATGGGCCCTCTTCAATAGGAGCAATTTTCTTAATTTGTTACAAAACCTCTCAGTTTGATACAGAACTGCCACCCTGCTCCTCAAAGAGCTGCTTAAACAGGTATTGTAACTTTTGTGCCAGGATATAGGGAGACCAAGGCAGGACAGCTAAGTGAGTCGCTAAAGTCCCCTGCGAGGCTGAAACAAGGACTCTGGAGTCCTGCCGTGAGCCGTGTGCTCACAGGGTCACTGCTGCTGATGGCTTTACAATGTTATTGAAAACCAGGAGACAAGCTCAGCTTGTCAAGAGATTGGCTTTAAACATATAACAGGCTTAGAAAAAAAATCCTCCTTTGTGACTCGTGATTGCTCGAAAGAACCCCATCTCAGCATGTTTTCTGCAGCACGGCAGGCTGTGGCCACGAATGTTGGGTTTTCTGTAGCCAGATGGTCCCAAGCCACAGGGGATGAAGTGCAATGTAACATTGAGAGACATCAGATGCAATCACAAGTGTGACAGCTCTGGGCCTCTTCCTTGAATTTTCACATTTCATGCACATTGGGTCCCCTTTGTGGGTGCAAGAGGGGGCTCTGTGCGTGTCCCAACTTCCATGCGAGTGTGGCAGAATAGATTTAGGCAACTGGTTTGCTGGGGCCTGTGCTGCTTTTTTTTTCATCACAGATCTGGGAAATAACTGTTGGAGGACATAAAATATTATATGTTGCAGTGTTTGGTCCTCTCTTGCAAGCATTTCTCATCATCTTCCTTATAGCTCGCATAATGATTTTACTCCCCCATAAATAAAGCCCTTTTGCTTCCTGCAAGCTGTTTAACCATCGCCTTGCACCGCACGCCGTGCAGTGGGAGACTTTGTCGTTCCCATCAGTCACTTCCACAGCTCCTTTGTCCGCCTCCTGCTCCAGCTGGGAATATGTGCAAACCCTTCCTACCAGTAAACCAAGAGCAGCTGGATGGGATCTCAGCTGTAAGCCAACAGTAACCAACTTATTTCAGCCTATTTTTCCTGATTAACTGCACCTTTTTTAGCACTTACCTCAGTCTCCCGTTATCAATGCAATTTTTGCCTTGCTCAGAGAGCTGCTGGCTAGGGAGGATTTGTTCCAAGAGGAGAGGACTGCAAGAATTAGCCTAATGCTGCCAGAGCTTTGGCTGGCATTTCTAGCCAGCCCTCTCATTTTCTCTTCAGGTTATAGCCAGTTCTGCCGGGTGCATCCAGCTATGTTTGTACTTCATCAATACAAAAAAAATGACTTCATTGCCATGGAGACAGCTATACTTTGCATCTTAATTAAGCAATGACAGATACCCTACTGATAAAGGCAATCTTTCGCTATGGATCTCCCTTGACTTAAAGTTACAGTATTCCCATTTATTATTAGATGCTTCTGAAATTGAAATGTTGTCAGGTGATTAGCAGGGAGTTATGTATTAATATTTTTGTTGTGTTGAGGTTCTGCTGTGAATAAATATTTCTCACGGGTGAGACAGGCAAATATTCTGGGCTTAAACAGAATGGGACGGCAAGAATTTTATTTGGTTTTGCATGGCATAAACTCCACCACTTAAGGCTGGGATTTGGTGGGAGAGAAGAAACAGCCGCAAGAGTATAGGAAGCAAAGGCAGCTGCTGATGTCTTAGGCGGCAGGCTGTCTGCATAGGAACACCCATTGCAAGACCCTGCTACACACTGGGAGCATGTGCCTGGTTTTTATTTCCAGACTAAGACTCTTCTGTACTGGAAGGATAGCTCTCTGTGGACAGAAAAGTGTGATCAGCAAGGGAATGACCATGGATCTGCATGTGGTGCTGATATTGCAACCAAGCTAGCTTAAAGGTCTCCAAAGGCGGAAAAGTCGAGCACTCAAAGGGCAGGAGACACTCATAGCTAGATTTGCAGCCCTAGCAGCTTTTGCTCAGTAGTTCTGACACCGAAACCTTGTTTTCACCTCTTCTGTAGTGAAAAGACGTTGCACAAGTAAGGTCTTTGTGCAAGCCTGTGCACCTGGCAGCAAAAGGAAAGGATGGCTGGACTCAGCTAGCCAGGCTGCTGTTCAGGGAGAAATGGAGCGATGAGGCAGCCCATCAGATGGAGCTAACCAGCTACAGTGTGTGGCCACAGGCCTTCTTCAATGCAGGCTATGTAACCACGAAACCCCTGCACCAAGCTCCCTTTCTCAGGGATGTATCTGCAGCACTCCCATTTGTGTCTCAGGGCTTCACCATCATTAATGAATCTGTCACCACAGCATTTATCACTTTCAGTAGTTTTATTATCCTTTTGCTCTGCATTGGGCACTGGAGTAGCAAGAAACACACTATAATTGCCCAAAGTATCCACTAATTTGAGATGCCCAAGGAATAAGGATGGGAACTTGCGTGGAGCTGGCGAAAAATTGCATCTGAACCTGTTCTCATCCAGTGACGGCGCATTGGCCTCAGAGGGTTCAGGCGCTGAACCAGACAGATCAGATCCTTAGAAATGAGGCTTATAGCTCACCTCTGATGAGCTTTATGGGCAGAATGGAGCTTTGGGGCTTTTCTGGCAGCCCAATTGCTTGTTTGTATCAACAATGTTGTTTTGTAGATGTCCCAGTGGTCTTGTGGGCTGAGTCATCAGTCGTGTACAGAGAATAGCACAAGTAACACTTGATTGCCATTGTCAGGGAAGTTTAGGAAAAATAGTAATACTTTTAAGAAATATCCAACAGCAATGCTCAGCTCCCTGTCCAGCCCGGCTTATTAGCCAGAGACTGCTGCAGAAATAGGAGAGCGTTCTCTTCTAGTCAGCCAAGGATTTGCAAAACATGCCAGTAATGCTATATCTGCTTTTTGCATGTGTCTTTGCATTACTCCAACAGCTGGTGTCTCTAAGCAGAAGACTGAATTCTCAGGGCAAGAAAAAATAATAGTAAAAAAAAAAATCTCATCTGGTATATAGGAACAAATAAACATTTAAGAACTCCCAGACCTTCAAAATAGGACAGAATTTGGACATAAGGAGGGCAGAGGTTGTTGCTTGCCCTTTAGATGAGGGTGAACTTCTCCTTAAGAGGTGTAAAGGAAGCAACTGCATGAGCAACTTACGGAGCCTGGTTTCTTGTGGATTTTTGTCCCACAGTTGATTTGCTGGTCTAAGAAAAAGTGTGACCTTAAATCAAAGCTTCAGCAGTTTTTATTTACATTTTTTCACATTTGTAAGGGCTTTTTGCCATATGAATTGGCTGGCACTTGATATGATCTGAACACACATTGCACCCTCCCCTTGGCTAAGGTGCACAATGCCTCTTTCTCTTCTGTCTGGCCACCCGTTTTTCCCCAAATTCAGAAGAACTTAGTTATCTCTGCAACCTTTTCTCACCCGACAGAATTTGCTGAACTCGGCCAAAGGCTCAGAAGCAATAGTGAAGATGAACATAAATAAGTAGCAGACTGACATGTTGACGCTGACACACATTACAGGACACCAATACAGATCAGATGCAACAAATTATTTATTGGGTTCCAGTCTGCATGACAGGCATATTCTCTGCAGGCACATTCTGGCAGCGCTCTGTGCTACAAAACACAGCGACTCCTGCGTCAGAGGCACGGATTAGGCCAAGCTGATAACGGCCCTGAGAAGAGATGCAGCTGCGGCTGATGACAGAAAACCTCCTTAACCTGCAGAATTGTGCTCTGGAGTTGTACTTCACTGAGGCAGTTCCTCTGTCTTTATGGCGAAAAGTAGAGAGGATGTTTCTTGTTCTGCCAAGTAAAACTGGAGTTAGCAGTCAGGTCAGGCACCTCCCAGGAGGATCATTTAGCTCTCATGCTCCTTTGAGCTTTATGGCATGCTGAGCAACTCCTGGCCTTGAAGGGCAGTACGCCTGTGCCAGAGTACACCAAAAAGTTAATTGGAGTGAACAGCAGTGAAAAAAGCCTGACCTTTTCCTGAATCTCAGCCCAATCCTGAGTAGCAGAGGTCATCCAATTAACAGAGAAACTGATGCTGGAAGAGAACTTTCTACTTTTAAGGAGTGATTTTGAGAACTGTTAGTGGGGCTCCATTGCAGCATGCTCAGTTTCAAGGCAAGATGTTTCTCACAGTGAGAAAACAGACACTTCTGCCCTCTGACATGGACAATCATTGTCAGCACTGAAACGGCTCCTTTAGCTCCAGCAGCATTACTCATCTTTTGTCTTCCCTTAACAGACAGAGATCGAGCACAGTCCTCTAAACCTTCTAAAATGATGGCCTTGATCCCTTCAGGCTTTAACTATCAGTAAGGTAGAACGTTGTTCCAGGTGGAACAGCCAGGTAGGATGAAGTTGTTTAGACCTAGACATTGCCTGCACCAACAGCTAAGAAAGAAGAGCATTTCTGTATCTCAAACTCTTACCACAGTCAAGCCCTAACAGTCTTCCTGGTCTCTGTGGGCATTCAATTCGAAAAGAAGTTTCTCCATCAGCACTTCTCCTGGAAATATTCCCAAAGTTACTGTCCAGGCCCCAGCAGGCTTGATTCAATGGGACACTTACAGGTTAGTTCAAGGGGCTTAGCGTGAGGCCCAAGGCACATGCTGTCCAGGTGGGGCTACTGCTCCGTGCAAGAGACACAAACCAGCTCCCTGACCCCCAGAAGTGGGTTATTGTCTGTGACACAAGCAAATCAGCTGGCCATGCAGCCTCCCTAGGAAGGCCAGCAATTGGACACAGCAGTGTTACGAAAGCACATCCATTGGGATGCTACATTGGTTTCACTGGTTAGAAAAGATTGTCCTCATCTATTTTCTGACGAAGCAAAGCAAGCAGTTCCTGCCTGGTGTTGCAGGACATCAGGTAACAGGCTGTCTAGCTTACGCAGATAAACTCAACTCCTTCGTCCTTCAAAATATTAGGAAATCATGTTAATCTCGAACATGGTATTGTGAGTATTTTTACAAGGTACC